CCCGGCCAGACTTTGGCTTTTATGCGTAATTCTTCCGAAGGTACCAGTTCAGGCACCTCCTCCTGCAGGAAGCCTTCCTGACCTTCAAGACATACGAGGTGCCACCTTTGAGCTCCCCTGGAAGTCTACGACATGCCAGGCTGTCACTGTGTGTCTGCGGGTCTGTGGGTCTGTCTCCCACATCTCCTGCACTGGGACATGAGCCCCTGCCAGGTCAGATGGGGAGGTGGGGGGCATTCACCTTGTTTCCCTCAGTAATCTCTGGACCCCCAGCCCGGCAATGTCATTCTGATGACCTCAGGGCCTGGGCCGGGTTAGTCCACCACACCACACATCTTAAAAAGTAAACCTTCTATTGAAATATAAAACCTGTATACGAAGGGGCGCAGATCTCAAGTGCACGGCTCAGTGAATTTTTACAAATGGAGCCTCCGAAGCCCCCGTCGTGTCCCCTCCGGTCACTGCCCCTCAAGGGTAACCACTGTCCTGACCTCTAACACAATGGCTGAGTCCAGTATGTCCCTGAGGGTCATGTAAGAGCACCTCGTGTGTGCTCTCGTGCGCGTGGCCTCCATGCCCCCCGTCTGTGAAACCCGTTCCCGTTGTAATGCAAATACCCCGCAGTTTGTCCATCTTCCTGTCCAGGCAGCCGGGCTTCCCAGTTGTTGGCTGTTGGGAATGAAGCTGCTATGAACATTCTTGTCTTCCAGTGCACATATGTTATTTTTCATTTCTCTCGAGTAAAGAGCTAGGAGCGGAATTGCTGGAGCACGGCGGTGCGTGCACGTGGTTAGCCACGCTGGCTACGGCTATGGTTCTCCCTGAAGATCGTGCATGGCACATTGTCGCCTCTGCCGCTCCACGGCCCCGCCAGTGCCGGGTATCCCCAACATTCGCCAGGCATCCGCTTGAAGGAGGGGGAAGGGAAGCTGGCACCTGGCACTGATTGAGCACAATAAATGTGTACAAGGCGACTGACAGGTGTGAACACGTCCAGTCACCACGACCCAGTGAGGTCACTACTGTTGTTACTTCCCCACCTTGCAAGGGGAAGCCGCTTGGCCAAGGTCATATAGAGGTCCCGCCGGGCCACCTGACTCTAACACCATGCTAACCACCACCCAGCCCAGCCTCTTGGAGGGGAGGAAAATGCCACCTAGTTTCTTGCTGGACTCATCTCCTGTCTTCCTTTCAGACCCCCACGGTCCCCCAGGGGACTCCGACCTCCACCAGCTCCCCAGGCATCCCTATGTCCCCTCATGCACCAAAGCCAGGGCAGGGACTGGGCCGGCCCACGGAGGAGATCCATTAAAGTGCGTATGTCCCGGCCCCTCCTTTGGCAACCACGACTCCGCAGGCGGGGCGCGGGGCGTGAGGCATGCTGCACAAGTTCCGGGGCCACGGTGATGTGCAGCCCTTCTGAGAGCCCTAGCGAGGGCAGTGGGAGCCAAAGAAGGGACTAGGGCAGGGGAGGGACTTGATGAGGAGAAATACCCCTGGGCCTCAGCTCCCAGCGTGAAGGCCCTAGAGCCGGAATTCCTGGGTTCAGATCCTGGCTCTGTCACTCACTACAAAGTGACTCGCCTTACAGAGCCACAGTTTTCCCATCTGCAAAGCGGACTGATATTAAAGGTGCCCACCCTCACCTGACTGGCCTGGCTGTGAGGACGGGTGTCCTGGAAATGGACCGTGGGGTGTCGGGAAGGGCGGCCAAGGGTGCGAGAAATTCACATGATGGCGCTGTCCCTGGGAGACCTTCCTGAGGGGCCTGGGCTGAAAGCGGTCCGGGAAAGGAGAAGGCAGGGCAGGTGGGGACGGGTGCGGACACAGGAGTGGGGAATAGTGTGTGGCCTCCTTCTTCCCGGGTCAGGCTGCCCGGCAGGTCCCTGGGAGTCAATAGCTGCAGGCCCAGGATCCGAGACCCGGCTCTGCTCCCTTCTCGCCCTGTGACCTTGGGCCTCAGTGTCTTTAAAGGAGGACACTGCATCCGGCTGCTGAGTGTGGTGTGAAGGAGCCGGGCAGACACTGGACTCGGGCAGACACTGGACTCGGGCAGACAGGGTTCAAGTCCAGCTCCAAGCGCGCCATGTGCCTCAGACGGGTCGCTTTATCTCTCCGAGCCTCTGTCTCCCCATCTAGGGTTGGGGGAGTCTTGGAGGTGAGCAGTGGCCTGGGGGACAGAACTTCCATCGTCACCTCTCGGAGGGGTGGGGTCACCATGTAGGGCTCCCTTGCCGGCCCAGACCCCTTTTCCGCCCAGGCTGAATCCAGAGTAACTGACCACTCAGAGATGGTTGAAATCAGGTTAGAGGTCAGAGCATCCACACCCTTTCTCATTGCACAGATGGGGAAACTGAGGTTCAGAGAGAAGCTATGCCTCGTCCAAGGCCACACAGTACCCAAGGCCTGGCGAGAACCCAGGCCTTCCGACTCTAACAGCATGTGCCTTGGTTTCCCCATCTGCACACTGGGGCTGGGGAGGGTGGCAGTAAAGCTTTAGCTAGCCACAGGTGCGCTGTGCAAACATCCAAGGGTGGGGCTGGGGGAGCGGAGGGCGTCTCCGGCATGCCCAGGGTCATGGATTACCCAGGCGTCTGCTGTGCCTGCCAGGTCTGCCTCAAGGCTACCATTGTCCCAGAGCCAGGAGATGATGGGTGACAGGATTAGGGCTGATGGTGAGGGACAAGGGGATGGCCCTGGCATCCGGGCTGAGACAAGGGACGGCCCTCCCTCCTCTGTGGCACGGACCTGGGCGTGGCTAGGACACGTCAACCTGCCAGGGCCCCACCGGCCCCTGGAGTGCTGGCCCCCTGACCAGGCCTCGGGCCACCCCGCACCACCTGCAGACACACACCTGTGGCCAGATAGACCCACCCACACTCACAGATGCCCCAGACCCCCCACATCCAAAGCCTCACCCCCACAGAGACATGGTCAACAGACAGACACCAATGCACAGACACACAGACACAGGGCCACCACCCCAGTAAGTCCCAGGACTGGGACACCAACTGATCATAGAAGGCCCCGATATATATTTCTTTCAAAGTTGTGGGTTTATTTTTAACATTCTAGCACGTGACACTGATTTTCAAGGTCCAGTTAGAATACATTTATTTTGAGATGTATTTTTAACTTGATGACATGTAAACACACATTTACTTTAAAAAGGAGTCACTTTAAAGAAAAGTATCAGCGTGAATCCCAGGAGAAGTGATGGGGGCAGATGTGCCAATGTCAGGGAGCTGGTTGTCACATGAACGCGAGACGCGGAAACCCCCTCGACAGGTTACATGTGGGTGAAGTGGGACACACAGACACACAGACACACAGACAGGGGTGGACTCCACACAGTCTTCCACGATGGGCCCCTGGTGTCTGCACAGACCCTCCCTGCAGGCCGCCCGATCCATGGGCTGCTCATACACCGACACCTGCTCACAGACACACGCACCGGCCCACGCACCGGCCCAGGGCCGCGCAGTTGCCTCCCACACTCCAACACAGAACCACCGGACCACGTCTCTCTCGGACTCAAAACCCCACCTGTGGGCTGGGCGCAGTGGCTCACGCCTGTAATCCTAGCTCTCTGGGAGGCCGAGGCGGGCGGATTGTTTGAGCTCAGGAGTTCGAAACCAGCCTGAGCAAGAGCGAGACCCCGTCTCTACTAAAAAATAGAAAGAAATTAATCGGACAACTAAAAATATATAGAAAAAAAAATTAGCCGGGCATGGTGGCGCGTGCCTGTAGTCCCAGCTACTCAGGAGGCTGAGGCAGCAGGATCCCTTGAGCCCAGGAGTGTGAGGTTGCTGTGAGCTGGGCTGACGCCACGGCACTCTAGCCCGGGCAACACAGTGAGACTCTGTCTCAAAAAAAAAAAAAAAAAACCCCACCTGTGGCTAACACCAGTGGGGCATTTATGGTGCGCAAGCACTTTGTATGATTTCATTTAAATCTCACAACAGCCTGCTGAGGTATGTACTGCCCTCATGCCCACTTTATATGTGAGGAAACTGAGGCTCAGGTTGGTGAAGTGACTTGCCCAGGACACACAGCAGCAAGGAGGCAGAGGCAGGATTTGAACCCTGGCAGGCTGGCTCCAGAGCCCACACTCCAATGCCAGCTCTACCCCCGACTTGCCAGGTAGCCTTGAGCCAGTCGTTCCACCTCTCTGAGCCTCAGTCAGTCTCATCTGTGAAATGGGAACAGTCCTTATCTATCTCAGCTGCTTGGAGAATTTAAAGAGGTGACATGGGGAGAACAAAGAACTCCTGGGGGCACAGGCTCCCTGTGAATAGAGCCATCCTCAAGTCACCAAGATTTGGGGTCACACAGCTAAGGTGGGAAGAGTTTTGCCACTTGCTAACCTGTGTGACCTTGGACAAGGGGGTTGACCTCTTGTGCCTCAATTTCCTCATCTGTAAAGTGGGAATGACAACATCAGGTTGTCATGTAGATTAAATGAGATGGCACAAGTAAGCCCTGAGCATGGCATTTGGCAGGAATTCAATATGTGCTCACAACCACCCCTCAGCTGTGACCAGATGCCCTATAGACCCCAAAACCCAAAGGGGAAGAAAAGGGGAAGAAAGGGGAAGAAAAGCCACACACCAATTTACTACAAAAAAAGAGACTGAAGCGTCATGTTTGTAAGGGCCTTTCTCCTGTTTATTGCCAAGGCCCCAGCCCGGGCCCACCTGGCTCCAATCAGGGGCTCCTCCATCGTGCAGGTGGTCGGTGGTGTGTGGGCAGCTGGCAGGGGCGTCCTGCCATGGTCAGTCCAGCTTCAAGTCCAGCACCAAGGCGTTCTGGCAGGGGGCAAAGGGCCAGGGTGGGAGTCGGGGAGCAATGACCAGGGCCACCCAGGCACAGGGATGGGATGGAACTGGGCCCCTGGCCAGGAACTGGAAACCAATGTGACGTTTAAGCAAAGGTTGAAGTAGACCTGCCTTGTGATGCTGGGGAAGTCCCTTCACCTCTCTGAGCCTCAATTTTCTCAACTGTCAATTGGGCACGAGCACCCCTACCTGCCAGCTCAAAGCCTGGCATGCAATAAGAAGCTCGTATTTATTGAGCACTTATTGTACACCTTTAGGTGAATTCGCTTAATGAATCATAATACTAGTTCTATGAGGTCAGTGCCCAGATTAGCATCCCATTTTAAGCACAGGAAAATGGAGGCATAGAGAGAGGCGAAGTAATTTGCCCAAGGTGGCAGAGCAAGAGAGCAGCAGAGTTCAAGTTTCTTTCTGTGGAACCCCTGGCCAAGGAGGACCCCAGGTTCTGAGGGGCAGCCTTGCTCACGGATTGCCATGATTATACTGATGGCCACCGGCCCTCCCCAGCCCCATTCCCTCCAGTTTGAGAGAGGCAGGCTCTTGCTCATCACCCATCGGCTGAAAGTGTTGATTGACATGGCCTTCCCCAGCCCCTCCCCTCACCTCCACTACGTCCAGCTGAGCCAGGTTGTAATTCACAGCCAGAAAGTCCGGGAGTGGCAGCCCAACTTGGAGCGCATCTGAGAAACACAGTAAGGGGCGTCTCAGCCTGACGGCCCTGCATTTGACTAAGGAGTGGCTGCCTGGAGCAGAGTTGTGGGAAATAGTGCCATGATTGATTCGTGATGTCTGCCGGCTGTGCAGGCAAACAGCAAATAACCCTGATCTGGCATGTATTTACATCCCAGGTAATCTCACTCATGATGTGGGGTCAAGGGTCAGAGCCCAAATGGTGGTAGAGGCCATTGTCCCCAGGCAGATGACTGTAAGACTCCATTAGCCTCAAAGATTCGGCAATGATCATCTATTCCCTTTTAGCCTCCCCTGTCTGGAGCCTGACGGGGCTCTGAGATCACCCAGTGGCATCCCTTCTTGCTTAAGTGCCTCTTGGCACCAGCAAAACCAAAGCCTGTTGGAGCCCTCACCATTGACAACTGGGGCGTAGGCTTCTTGGAGATAATCGGTGATGAAGCCAGTTAGTTCCTTCTCCTGGGGGAGAGAAAGAAAGAGAGAAAACATCCACATCCCATCATTTAATTCAATTCAATCCAGTTCAACAAATCTTTTCAGCCCTCACTCTGGCTAGGCCTGGGGACCACAGGAGTTGATGTTAGACCTATCGAATAGTTCGTCCGGCTAGCATCGAGGAGCTGTGCCCTTCACCTCTGCTTAGTCTCTGTTCAGGTAACACATGGAGTCTTGGGTCATGGTGCAGGAGACAAGAGGTGGCTCTGCGGACGCCACTCCTGCTCCTACAGAAAACTCAGTGGCTTTGATCAGTCATTCACTCACCACCTCTCTGTACCTCCCACGCCTAGCTCTCTGTCCCTCAGTGAAATATAACAGCGCCTACTCACAGCGCTTCCGTGAGGATGAAACGAGCTTGGCCAAAGCACACAGCACAGAGTAAGTGCTGCCGTTGTTACTACTCTTAGCACCTGCTGCGGTCAGGTTCTGTGTTGGGCCCTGAAACTGTGGAGTCCAATAAAAACAACAGCTTGGCCAACCAGGGCCAGCCCGGGCTGCCACTGTCCAAGGCAATGCTGTTAAAATCAATCCAGGGAGAGGTCCAGATTCTATCCAGAAAAGGAAACAGGGACCCAGAGAGGCTAAGGGACTTTCCCAAGCTCACACGGCAGGTCAGAAGCCCCAGACCTCCCAGCGGCCTTGCCCTGTTGATCCTGCCTCCATTGCAGGGCCTCTTCCTGCAGGCCCAAAGGAAAACAAGGCCAGTCTTGTCCTCAAGCCAGCCCAGGCAGAAGCACCTGGGACACTTACATTGAAGTGGCCAATCGATGAGGACTTCCGGGCAAGGCTCAGTAATCTGTGGGGGAGGAGGAGCAAGGCAGGGGGTAGAGGAGAAAGAATGGTCAGAGTCGCTGGCCCTGGCCCTGGAGAAGAGGATCCCATGCACCCCAACCCCTCCCAATGCAGGAGTCCCCCACAACCTCAGACCAGGTGCCGGCGAGTCTCTGCTCGCATGTTACCTATGACGGGACACATGCCACCTTCATCTCAGCCCATTCTGTTTCCCACGGCTCAAACCACTAGACTCTCCTGATCTCTTCTCACTGGGACCCCCGGTGGTGTCTGCTGCTCCTGCCCAAGGCCGGCTATGCAGAGGTTTACAGCCCAGCTGGTCAGTCTCAGATCCTCCAGGACACGGAGTAGGAGCCCCTTACCCTGCCCCCTGACCCCACACAACCTCCAGTAGGCACTAATTCATGTCGATGCCAGACACGCCACGTGATGGACATCTGGTGGCTCTACCTGTCTACTCTCACTAGTCCAGTAACAGATCCTCCATTTTCCACGCTCGTGCCAAGTGGTCCAGGTGGGGCTGAGCCCAACACCCCTAAGATGAGCATATAACCCAGGCCTGGCCAATCAGAGCAGGCTGTCTCTCAGGTATGGTGATTGGCTTAGCATTGGTCATGTGACCCACGTTAGACCCAAGCCAGACCCGAGCCTTGGTAATTAGTCAGAACCATTGGACAAGAGGCTTCTCTTTTCGGGATCGCTCTCCCGCCCTGCAAGAAGAGGCTGCCTGGGAATTTAGCCAACAAAGTGGAGAGCAAAGGCAAGGGGAGGAGGGAGACAGATTCTTGAGGACTTTGTCTGCCTGGATCCCACCATGCCTGAAGGCAGACCTACCCCTACAGTCTTCAGTTATATGAGCCAAAAGTTTCCCTTTGAGGCTTAAGCTAAAGTTGGAATTCTGTCTCTTGCAACTGAAAGAATCCTGACACAATACAAGTCAGATTAATTATTAAGGCAAATACAAGAATTCATGAATGACTGAATATAAAGCTAATATGTTAATAGCACCCTCCTCCCAGAGTGTAAGAATGAAATAGAATGATGAAGACAATATGTATACTCGGTGTCTCACAGATAGAGCCCCATACACGTTAGCTGCTATTGGTATAAGGAAAGGCTTCCTGGAGGAGGTGGCATTTCAGCTGGGCCCTCACTCTCAGGTGACCTTTGGATGGCATGGGCAAAGGCCCATTAATGCAAAGGGGTGCATGCGCCCATAACCAGACCACTGGGAAAGAGCCTAGTGGAAGAGTGAGGGTAGAAGTGGGAGAATTTAAGAAAGACCTTTAGTGCCAGACTGAGATTTGAGAAAAGATCATGCAGGTAGTGGGGAGCTATTGATGGTTCTAGAGCAGGGATAGTAGGGATAGTGACTAGAGCAGACTTGTAGTGTGGGCTGTGGTGGAAGGATCAGCGGAGAGCTGGGGCAGGAAGCCAAGTGTGTTGGGAATGCCCATGAAGGGATACAGGGACACCAGCCTGGGGCAGCAGGCTCCTACCTGTCCAGGGAGGTGGCCATCTGCAGCCGGTTCTCACGCACTGAGTACTGGACTTTCAGATTGAAGTGCTGGCACGGGGGAGGGAGCAGAGAGAAGGCGGAGGGTCCCCCAGTGAGGGCTGGGAAAGCCAGAGACTTTACCACCCTTCAGCACCACCACCACCACCACCACTGCCAAGACAAAGCAGGGGTCCTCCTCTCTGCCCATCCCACCCTCGGGAATTGAACCCAGCCCACGCTCTTCATCCCTCCTTGTCCTGGGCCAGGATAGCACCCCCCAAATACCTGGCAGCATTGTAGGTCCCTGCACACAGTGTTCTTGCTGCAGGCCTTTGCATATGCTGTAACCTCTGCCTGGGCTGTCCTCCATCCCCAGACTCCCCAGCATCAACCCCTTCCCTGGCCAGCTTCTGCTCAACCTTCAAAACATAGCTCAGCTATCACTTCCTCTGGGCAGTCCTCTGTGATTTCCCCAAACTGGATCTGGGATCGCTTTAGGCTCCCTTAGTCCCTCAGTGAACCCTTCACTGCCTTTGCAGATGCTAATGAATGTTGGAGGGAGAGGGAGGGGAGGAAAGGGAAAGTCAGGACTCAGCCCCTGACCCTCGGTTTGCTGGTCTTGCCAGCCTTTCAAAGGCTCCGTGGCAGAGCCAAGGATCAGACATCATGACGGTGACTGGGAGGTTAGGACCACACAACTGAGATTATCTAAGAACCCTCCAATCCATGACTTGGCTGTCAACTAAAATCCCACTCTCCAGCCCCAAACACCCACGAGGTTGGGAACAAATGGGGAACAGCTCTCACAGCTTCTAGGACAAAGAGGGACACCAGAGCCTTGCCCCGCCGCCGGACAGCTGACATCTCCAGGGTGCCGTGCAGGTGAAGCAGGCTCTTGCCGGGATTCATGGTGAGCTTGGGAGGCTTGTTTATCCTGATCTGGGTCACCAAGGGCTTCGACTTGGGGTAGGCCTCAGCCACCTACGGAAACCAGGAGACTTCACTCAGTCCTTAGACTGGCGCCTTCAGTTGAAATCAGGGGTCCCTCGTGGGAATAGGTGATTTCTACCCTGGACATAGGAAGTACAACATGCAAAGGCCGGGATGTGTCTATCAGGAAATAAAGAGAACGAAACACACAATTTGGCTGTTCTGTCTTGAACACAGAAAGCGCAATGCACGAACGCTGAACTCATTCTACGCTGGACCCAAAGAGCGCTTTATGGAGAAGTCAAGGTGCTGCCACATTGGACAAGGGACCTGTGGCATTGAGAAGGTGCCTCCCAAGTCCTCACCTTTGACCAGAGGGCAACAGGGCAGGGCAGGGAGTGGTGGTCACAGGGAATTGGGGACTCACTGCAGGGATGAAGCCAGCCAGCGTCACAGTGGTTTGTGGGGGCAGCTCACCAATCTACAGAACGAAAATTAAGATTAGGATCACTGACGTCCTCCCTGACCCAGTCTGACAGGCATCTCCTCTACTCGACAACATGTGCCCTTCGAGGCTCCCTCCATACAGCACCTACCACTCTGTGCTTGACTAGATAATGAGCTTCTGGGCAGCCCAGACGATGGTCTACACATTCCAACGCCCATAGCTCTTAGCACAAGGTCAAAGGCTGAGAAATGTTGTTGGATGAAAAAGCGAGAAGATGGATGGGAGAATGGATAGATGTATTGGAGAGAGGGGCATGGGCAGATGGATTCCTGGATGGATAGACAGATGGATGGGAAAATGGGTGGGAGGACGGATGGGTGGATGGAAGGATGGGTAGGTGGATGCATGAAAGGAATGATGAAGAGGAGGATGGGCGGATAGGAAGATGGTGGTATGGGGTGATAAATGGATGGGAAAACAGACGAATGGATTGATGGGGTGGGAAGATGGATGGAACGGTACATGGATGGCTGATGAGCGGAAGGATGGGGGGATGAATGGATAGATCAGTGGGGCGGATATGGTGGATATGGGGGTATACGTGGATGGATGATTGGACCAATGAGTAGGTGACTAGGAGGATGGGTAATGGAAAGTTGGGCGGGTGTGGGGTGCTTGGGTGGTAAATGGCAGGTGCATAGATTCACTCATTCGACAGCAGTTCCTGTTCTAGAACTTGCGTGGATGATATGGTGGGATGGATGGATGCTAGTTGGAAGGCTAGAACCTAGGCATGAATACATGCTGGCTAGCTAGACAGGCAGGTGGAGAGTGACTGGATGAAAGGAAGCTGATAGATGGCCGAGGCATTAGAGGTGTAGGTTGAGGAGCGGTTGGCTGTATGGACAGTGGACGTACGGAAAAGTCGATGGTGGTTACATGGGCAGAGGGATGGCGGATGGTGGGATAAACGTGATGGAAACCCAAATCAGTCCCGGCATCTCCCAGTCTCAGTGTTGCCCACAACCCCAGGATAATTCCCAGAGTGGACAAACTAGGCAGGGACTGTCACTGTGGGGGCAGAAGAGGATGGGGTAGGGCGCTGGACAGCTCACCATCGTATCCCGAATGTCGGCATCGAAGGACGTCTGCAGCAGGGCGAGCTCCGCCGTGAGGAAGGCGGCCGAGAGCAGCAGCTGTGACGAGCCTTCAGCATAACCCTCGGGGAACTGGAGGGCGTCCCCAGCGTCAGCAAGCTTGATGGCTTTGCCCTTTTGCTGCTGCACCACAGGCTGCGGGACAGCCGGGAGGGCCACACTCACCCTCGGCCCCCGAGGGCCTGCGGTCGGGGGTGCGTCTCATCCTCCAAACCCCTGGAGCTCACAGCAAGCCCCAGGTCAGCAAGTCACTAACTGTCAGAGCCAGAGCAGGCCACAGTGGCCCCACCCTCCCAGTGTACAGGTGGGTAGACTGAGGCCTGAGAGGAAAAGGAAGTCCGTCATGAACCACTGGCATTTCCTCCTGGGTGAGCCCCTGGTCAGGAGAAGCAAACGGCCTTGGGGGAAACACGAGTGTGAAGTCAGCAGCCCCAGAAACCAGCCGGGCACTCGAGGTTCACGTTCAGAGCAGAAAGCAGGAGAGACCGGTGTCCCGGGGATACCCTGGTGGGGGCCTGAGGGGCCTCCTACCCTCCACAGCGTTAGTCCGACACCCACCACCCAGGCGGGGAGCCTGAGCCCCCAGCCCCCTGGAGGTCCCCGGCACTTACACTAAAGCCCACTTGGATGTAGCTGGCCGTGGTGACAGGTGTGGACGTCAGGACATACTTGACAGTGCCCGTCTGGCCCACGGGCATAGGGTCTGTGTGAAAAGGAGGTTCCAAAACCATCAGAGAGTCGCCGACCCTGGGTGCAGCCCAGAGAAGCCCGTGCCAGCCAGCTGCACTGGAGCCAGGCCCTCCGGGTGACCCGAGGCAAATTGCTTAGCATCTCTGGGCCTCTGCAACTTCATCTGCAGAACAGAGGCCACAGTGCCCGGCCCAGGAAATCACATCGCACTGCTGGCACGGGGCTTGAGAGTTCACCACAGGCCGTCACGGCTTGGGTCTCACAGCAGACCGGCGGGGGTGGGATTATCAGCTGTTTTACAGATGCGCAAACTGAGGCTTGGAGGAGGAGGTGGCTTTCCCAGGCCACACTGCGGGGGACATGAGTGAGTTTTCTTCAGCCCCAGACATTGATATTTCCTCTCCCCAACACTGGGGAGCCCTGTGGACCCCAAAATGGAAGCAGCAGATGCCCCCGGCAAAGGCGAATCAGGCATTGCTATCGGGTTACTATTCAGGGTACAAGATTTGTGGATGAGCGCAGAGTGGCTGCTGTCCTTGGGGTCTGGGGGGTGCTGGATGGAGCGCGGGGTGGGGGGATGAGAGGGAGGATCCAGAGTCCCTCAGGACCTCAGGGCCTTGGGCTTCCCATCTGGACAGTGCAGGGTGGACACCCTGACCTCAGGGCTCCTGAGTCCCGAGGCTGGGCAGGAAACATCCATTGGAATGGGGAGTAGGGCCTCAAAATCCATCCATCCTGGTGTCCCCGTGCAGGGCCGAGGTGTGGCTGGGGCTACACTCACCATTCAGGTTGGCCCACTTCCTGTTCACATACACCAGGACCGCATCGATGGCTGGACACATCTGGAAGCAGAGCAGGCACTGGGCTGAGAGGGTGCCTGCATGGGGGGCCTCACCCCACACAACTGCATGGTTTTCCATGGTTTTCCATGCAGGGGAATCCCAAGAACCCTGGTGGGACAGGAACTGGTGGGGAAACTGAGCCCCACGTCACAAGTCTGTGGCAGAGCCTGAAACAGAATCCGGATCTCCTGGCCAGAATCAAAGTCTGCAAAATCTGCGAGGACTCATTCCCCAGGGGCTGGCCATTTAAGCAGGGCTGGCAAGCTGTGACATGCAGGCTGTCGTTCCCTCCTCCCATGCTCATGGCAGACATCACTAGATGATCATGGCGCTATCTCCCCCTGAGCCAGCCACAGCCTCAGAATCCTTCCCAGCCACTAGCAGCCAATCAGGGTCAGCACCCAAAATGAAGTGCACTTGCCAGCCCTGGTCTAAGCCATCCCAGCTGCGGGGCTGCAGGCTTTGTCTGGGCCACTCACCAGGCCAGGGAGGACTTTGTGCAGGGTGCTGTCCAGGAACTTGTTGACCACCTTGGGCAGCATGCTGGATGGACACAGGCACCAGAGGGTGGGCAAACAGGTGCACCAGCGGCAAGAATTTAGGCACAGGACATGGAGGGACATGGTTAAGGGGAGGTCAATGGCTCAGGGAGTGGGATGCTAAGAGTGGAGCAATGTGGACCGGCCGTCCTCCCCAGCCACAGGGCCCCTCACTTGCTAGGCAGGTTGGTCTTCACGTTGACCAGGATGACCTCACAGCCCTCGCTCTTGAACATGGGGAGGCCTGTCTCCTCGTCCTGCAGAAGCCGGTTGGTGGCTGTGATGTTCAGGACCACGATGATCTCCATGTTCCCTCCCATGAAGCTGGAGGGTGGGGCAGGCAGGCATTGTGGGCAGCTCTGCCACTGTGACCACTGTCCCTGCCTCCTCCTTGCTCACAATCTCAGTAGCTCTGAGAGGGGGAAAGGGGAGGGGACCACCCCCACAGGACAGAAAAGGGGAGGGGTGGGACCTGCCCAAGGTCAAACAACCAGCCTTTTCCCTCCCCTCTTGCTTTGGCAAACTCTTACACATCCTTCAAAACCCTGCTCAGCTGTCCTCACATCCTCAAAATCTTTTCTGATTTCGGCTGACCTGCCCAGTGCTTCCTCTGTCCTAGGCCAATCACCGAGTCTATGATTGTGCACAGCTCTGGCTCCCATCAAAGGTAGGAACCAAGTCTACATCACCTCAGATCATAGCACCCAGATGATACACAGTAGGCACTCAATGAATGTGCATGTGAGGGTGAGACAGGGAGGCCATTCTCCTTCTGCCTTCCCTCCCCTGCCCAACTCACCTCTTGCCAGTGATGGTCATGCCTGTGGCCACACACTGGAAGATGCCCACTCCAGGTACAAAGTTCAGTGTGATGACGGGCAGCTGGACATCCTTCACCTTCAAACTGGGAGGGGACAGGCGTCCACAGCAATGAGAACTGAACAGGCGAGCCCCAGGGCCTCAACTCACTCCTCCACCACCTTGCTGAGAGGCCTTGGGCACACCCCTATCCCATGTCACAGGGATAAGTCTGCCTCAGGGGGCCATGAAGAAGTGCAAACAAAAGGCTGGACATGAACCAATTCGTATACAGAAAGCACTCATCATATGGGAGAGGGGACACCTGACTGACTGTGTATGACCTTGGACTGTTCCCTTCCCTTACGTGGGCCTCAATTTTCCCATCAACAAACGTGGAGGTTTGCTTAGATCAGGGTTTCTCAGCAGCGGCACTATCAGCATTTGGGGCAGGATACTTTGTCGTGGGAGGCTGTCCTGTGCATGGCTGGGTGTTTAGTAGCATCTCTGACCTCAATTCACTAGATGCCAGTAGCACTTCCCCACTCTCCTGCAAACTGTGACAACCAAAAATGTCTACAGACATTGCCAAACGTCCCCTTGGAGGCAAAGTCACCCCTAGTTGAGAACCAGGATAACAAAGATGTGGCACATTGACCTCCACTTGCCCATCCTGAGCTCTTGGCAGACATCACTAATTGATCACAGTCCTATTTCCTGTTAAGTCCGGATAGTGGCTCAGATCCCTCCCAGTGCATCATTCCAGGCAGCCCCTACCAATCTACCCCACATGGCACTTGCAAAGGAACCAATTTCCTCTTGTCATTAGAGGATCGTTGATACCCTTCCAGCTCTACCATTTGAGGATGTTTTCATTTAATTTCATATACAGGGAGCTCATGCTGCATGTAGGGAGTTGACGTTCCACTTTTCAACCTTACTTCCTTCTCAAATGACCCTGCTCACAACAAGGCAAGAATTGTCCCCAGTGGATGGCTGAAGAGGCCCCGGCTCAGGCAGAAGCAGTGACCTGCCTAACGTCACACAGCAGGACAGCACGAGGCAGGGAGGAGGCCCCAAAGCTGGCACCAGCTCTCTCACCTGGCCTTCTCAGGTCTGGGCACAGCCTTCCCCACCACCCTCTGCCCGAACCACCCCCCCACCCCACCCCTGCATACTTGGTGATGCCCTTGATCGGTTTCATGCCCGGCTGTTTCTTGCCTGCCTCAGCTGCCATCTTCTCCAGGATGTGACTCTCATCCATGGCACTCTGGACCTCTGCCGTGGGGGTCCAGAGAGACACTCAGGTGAGAGATGGGCTCGGGAGTCCCAGGCCCCTTCCAGTCACTGTGTCCCACCCTGGGCTGGGCGATGGCACAGACCCACAGATGAGTCATGCCCAGTCCCCGCCTTCCCCCAGCCTCCTGAGGGAAGCCAGAGTCACCAGCAATGACAGTGACAAGCTGTAGGAACCACAAGCGGGGTTTAGGCCAGGAAGGGAATAGCCAGGGAAGGCTTCCAGGAGGAGGTGACATATCAGCTGGTCCATGAAAGGGAAATAGCAATTTTCCCCAGGAAGCAAAGAAAAAGGGTCCCACTCCGGACAGAGGGCACGAGTACAGGGTGAGGGCAGGAGAAGGTGGCAGGTGAGGAAGACAGACATTCAGCGTGGCTGGAGGGCAGGGGAGACAAGACAGGCAGCCGGGGCAGTTTGCAGGGGGCATATCATGGGGGTCACGAATGCCAAGTTGGAGTGTTGCTTTATCCTATGGGCCAGCCGCTCCCAGACCCGGGGGACTGGGGACTCCGCTGGGAGCTTGTTAAAATGCAGATTCTGAGCCTGAGGCAGAGAGATTCTTCCCCAGGCCTAGAGGCCCCCACCCCAATGACAACGCCAGAAACACCTCCATTACGGTCACAGCTAATGCCCAGAGAGGGGACAAATACTGAGCTGACAGAACTGTCATTAGCCTTTTGTGCCTCGATGTGACTCCATTTCCCCTGTGGCCACGGAGTTGGGGATGGAGGTGGAAAATCAATTTTACTAAGGTTCCCCCAGGGGATTTTAATCTCACATTTTATTTGATCCCAAGGAAGAACTGGTTGCCCTCTTTTACATTTTCTTTACATTTTACATTTTCTTTACATTTTACATTTACAGATGAGTGAACAGCAACACAGAGAGGGCAAGGGACTTGCCTGAGGTCACACAGCCAGTTGTTGCTGGGATTTGACCCTTGTCCATCACCCCCACAGCCCACTCGTGGCCACCAACCCCCGACATTAGGGCTAAGGAGAGACTCCAAGGGAGCAGGATTTCCAGCTGAGCCTCTAACGTGTGGGGAGACCACGGGCAAGTCATCCCACTTTCTCTGGGCCTCAGTTTCTCCCTCTGTAAAATGGGAGGATGATAATAACGCATTGTGTATAAGTTTATTCTGAGGATCATAGGATGCTCAAGGCCACACAACCATGATCATTGACTACCCGCTGCCTGCCCCGTGCGCCCCCTCCTGGCCCCACCCCTGGCCCACAAGCTCACCTCGGTTCATGACGTCCATGCCCAACCGCAGCAGCGCCCCAGGGTCAGCTCGTGTGCCGGTCAGCAGGCTGCAGAGTGCCAGACACAGGATCCGCAGCATGGCGCCACCTGTGCCGAGGGGCCGGAATTGGGTGCAGCCCAGCAGGCCTTGGGTCCCCTGGGGACCTCCCATCTCGGGGCAGATCCAGCCTCCTATTGTCGGGGGCCCAGGAGCCTCTGGCCTCCAGCCATTCTAGCAGACATCATCACTGCCTTCTCCCAGGGGATCGGGGGATCCAGATTAAACAGCGGGCCTCCAGAGTCACCGCCAGTAGGCCACTTCCCGCTCTGAGCCACAAACGCCCGTGGGCACGATGCGTTCTGACCAGCCTGCAGTATGGGGCTGGTGGGAGATTCGGCTGCGGTTTTCCACGGGGTCAAGTGTGGCCCAGTGCTGGGGCCACAGAGGGAACTCCAGCCCCACCCTGACTCGGGGAGCCCCACTGCAGCGTGGATGTGGGGAGCCCTGTGTTCCCCACCTGGCCCTGCAGCCAGTGCCACCAGCAGCTCCTCCATCTCTGCCTCGCCTCCACGTGGAGCCCAGAAATCTCAACTGCAGGCCTCCATCACCTCACCCATAGAGAAACCGAGGCACCCGCGGGAGGTCTCACAGCGGCGAATAGTGAACCGAACGAGGACCTCCCACCCCAGACCCTTCAAGGTTCCCAGGAAAGCCCTACCCCACCGCTGTCCCCAGAATCCCTCCCTCCTACTTACCAAGACCTAAAATTCTCCCAACCAGGGGCCAAGTGTGTCTTTCAGTTCTGAGCTTTGGCTGAAAAGAATGAAGGAGGGGCCCGCGGGAGCCGCGCCTGCGTGGAGGGGTGTGCCAGCCGGACTGTCGCCGACAGAGGCTCAGGCACCGAGGGCTCCCCCAATCCACAAACCGAGGTGGGCCCCTACTGCGTGCCCATCGTCCCAGTCCAAGCCTACGCCTGTGTTCATTCATTCATTCAGCTCGCATTTACTGAGTGCCTACTACGTGCCGGGCAGACCGGGCTGCAAGGTGCCGGTGGCAGAGACACCCCCGCTCCTCCTGAATCTTACGGTCTGCGGGGAAGGCAAGTGAGAAGCCAGGGGACGGGCTACGGGGTGAGGTGGTCACAGGAGGTCACAGAGACATCCAGGCTGAGACCTAAAGGATGAAAAGCTGCCCGAGTAGAAAGAGCCGGGAGAACATTCGCGCAGACGGCAATATTCACTGAGCGAAAGCGTGACCTCTCACGTCCCATTCCATTTGTAAATATCTATCTGGGCTTAAAAGTAAGAGATCGTAGAGCTTCCTCGACCCGTGAACACATGCGTGTGCGCTTTGGCGCGCGCTCGCGTCCGAGACCGCCCGGCGCAGACTGTCTTTGAAGATCATCCCCAGAGGGGCTGCAGGGTCTGTGCCAGGTGACAGCCCTGGGAGAGGCTTGGTGACGGTCTCCTCCAGCCCCAGCCCCATCTCGCAGTGGGGGGGGCTGAGCGTCACCCCAGACTCCCCATTCCCAGGCCAGAACTCGTGCCAGGTGCTGGGGTCACCCGGGTGGGGGTTTTGTCCTCTTGGAATAACAAGTGTCTTGGGGTAACAGGGTCATGTGGGAGTTTCCGGGACAAATGGTTAACGCCAGGGCTTTGTTTCTGATCGTGCTTTCGCTGAGTTGTCCCTCCCTGTTGGAACGCCTTCCCTCCCTCCGCCCACCCATCTCCTGCTCATCCCTCAAGTCCTAACTTCAGCCCTTGCCTCCTCCTCCAGGAAGCCTCCCCTAACCCCAACTGCCCCCAGCCTCAAAGATCCCAGTTTGAACCCGACCATGTGCATAATCCATCCTACCTGGTCAGCGTTTCCTGCCACCCCACTCCCATCCCTCGCTCATGTCCTCCTCCGCCAGGAGTCCCATCCTCCCTGACTCTGCCTGGCACATGCTCCCAGCTGCCCCCACCTCTGGCTGCCCAGCTCAGCTCTGAGTTCCCACAAAGCACAGCCGGGGTGTTCCCTCCCTGGTGTCCCCTCAGCCTCAGATGGAACCCAAGGAGGCCCATTGGCTCTGCTGTGTCCTTGACCTTTCCCAAGTCCTGCACCATCTGAAGAGGGCACTGTGAGGTGTGGAGCTTGTGGGTCAGGACATCATAGATCCAAGCCCTGGCCCTGCCACCCATCTGCTGTGTGACCTCAGGCAAGTCTCTTCCCCTCTCTGAGCCTCACTTTTCTTACTTGTAAAATGCCAGTGCTGGATAAGACACTCTCTAGGGAGGGTTCCACAGGTAGGGAACTGTCCTTACCTTGACACCAGCTTGGGGAAGTCCTGCAGATGACTGACCCCTGCCTCCCGACCCTGAGACGAGGAAGCCCTTATATTCAGGAGCCCGATTAGCTGCCTGGATAATTGAGGATTTAATAAGGCCCAGATAATTATCTAAAGGCCCAAAGAACAGGAGACCCGATGCTCACGTGACACTTCAGTCTGTTCCAACGTAAATAACACCGAGGACAAGGGTGTCCAGGGAGCCCGGTGACCACAGGAGGGCAGGTGCTGGGGACGGGCTCTGGTTGCCTGAGCGGGCATCCATGCTCACACTGGCCCCTCTCCTAGACCCAGCACCTTCCACAAGGCTGGGCACACAGTAGGCATGCATTCGTTCCCTGACAAACACGCGTTGAGTGCCTACTGTGTGCCAGTTCTGTGCAGGGCACTGGGGTTGCCTCAGTGAACAGGGCAGTTGGGTTCCTGCCCTGAGGGTTCCTGGAGCCCGAAGGGGGAGCAGGTGCCATGCAAGTCACCGACCGCAGAGCCAGCCACTCCTGAGGGAGGCAAGGGTGGCGGACACCACTGAACCAGGGGCAGGGCAGGGATGGAAGAACAGGCTTCTCGCCACAGCCGGGAGATCCCTTGAGCAGGGCACGTCGGGGCCGATGGCAGGGGCCGAGCAGACCAGCTCTACAAGGCAGGGGGAGGGGTTTGGGGGGACTGACACATGCAAAGGCCTGGGAGACATCAGCTGAACCCAGTGGGATGTGTGCCCCTGAGATTCACTCACAGGGCAGAGGAGCTGTGGCTAAGTGGGCTGTCCTCAGAGGGACCCTCCTGCCAGAGATGCTGGGACACGGTACAGGCCAGGTGTGGGGCTTTCTCTCAACGTCCAAACCTGGGGAGCAATGAAGTCAGGGGTGACCTCAGGGTCACAGGGCGAGCCAGCCACAGAGCTGGGGCTAAAGCCAGGCCTCAGGTGCCAGCCTCTGCTCTGCTCCCGTGAGCTCCTCGGGGAGGCTTGGCCTGGGGGCACCTCAAAGGCCTTTGCGGGGGGACTGGGGTCTCCTCCCCCACACCACAGGGAGCCCATGGGTCTGGGAGATTGAGGAAGCCCACAGGGCCACTGAGGCCACGGGGAGCCAGTGCTGCCTGAGGTCACGCGGCGTGGCTGAACCAGCTGCAACAGGGCGAGGGCAGTCTCTGCCCCATCCGGGCCCTGAGCCGCAGGAGCCAGTCTGCAGATAGCATCGCCTCATCCCCACCCACCCGTCCCCAGCCGACGGCAGACAGGCAGGCCTCACATCACCACCACCTCCAAATCCACCCCGTGTGCCTCCGGCTCCAGTCACCGGCCCTCCCTGCCTCCCCCAGGGCCATCTGCGTACGGTGGGGGTGGGGGCAGGAAGGACGCGTGGTGGGGAGACATGAGGAACCCCTTGAGTGGGTTCAGACACTTGAACCCCAGTCCCAGCCACCGCATTCCCAAGCTGTGTGTCTTGGGGCGGCCCCCTCAACCTCCCTGGACCACTTTTTTATCCCGTTTACAGTGGGGGGGCAGAACTCTATGATGCTATCATAGCAATGACAGGACCCGTTTACTGTGCGCTCCACCTGTTCCAGGCACCACGCTAGAGCAAGTCACACATTTAATCCTCAGAACTGCCCTATGATATGGGCACTTTGGCAATCTTCTCCACTTTGTAGAGAAATGGAGGCTCAGAAAGGTCAAGCCATCTGTCCAAGGTCACACAGCGAGTGAGTGGCACAGCTGGGGGTGGAGTGTGGATCCAAGGGGCTCCAGAGCCCAGGCCAAGACCTGCCAAGGCGGACCCACTGGAGCTCCTGCCGGCCTCTCTGACCTCCCTGCCCCTGGCCCCAGAATCGCCCTGCCTGGTCCCTCACGACTCCCTCCCTGCTATTGCTCCAAATTCGCCATCTTTCCAGGGCCAGCTGCGGCTCCTTACACCAGGGAGCCTTCCCTAGCCCACTTGCCTCCCCCCGCCTCTCAGACACTGAAGATTGGGCCAGTCTTGAAGCTCAGTTCCCCATAGATCCTCTGGGAGCCAATAAGGGGGACTCCAAGTCCAGCACCCCCACCTTCTTCTGGGGCTGGGTGTGGGGCCAGCCTGGGCCAGAGCTCCGGCATGCACACGTGCAAGCAGCTCACCATCCACACATTTATCATGCACTTGCTGTGCGCTGGCCTCCGGGAAGGGTCGGGGACATGCAGCGGGGGCGGAAGCCACGGGCACCGATAAGGGCATCAAGTGACCAGGGAGGAAGGCTGTGGAGAGAGACAGGTCCCCCCATGCCACAGCAGGGCGACGCTGCCTTTGAGCCGGTGTGTGGGGGGAGCAGGCTGTGACGAAGGCCCCCGAGTGAGCAAGGAGCAGGGCGAAGGCCCAGAGAGGAAACGCGCCGGGTGCACATTCAGGGTGGGGAGTGGGCCGCGCAGGTGGACGAGTGGGAGATCTGCAAAGGCGCCAGACCTGGGAGGACCCGAGCCTTTCCTTCTGTGCCCCACGGTGCCGCTTAGCGGTTTGTTCCCACCTCTCGGCTCTGAACACACCCTTCGACGTGCGCTCTGTGATAAGAGATGGACTCAGTTAAGTTTTCTCCTTTCAAGTGAGCGTGATGGGAACCTTTCTCAGGAGAGGGCCCTGGGGAGCAACAGGAGAGGAAGAGGCTTCCTAGAAGTCCCAGCGGAGGCTGGGGTTGGCTGTGCTGGGATGTGGGCGAAGCCTGGATCCCTCTGCAAGCTTGCAGCCTCTGCCTGGGGACAGCCCTTCTGCAGCCCTCTCCAAACAGAAACAGAGATACCCCCATGTCCCGTGGCCTGAGACTGGGTGGCCCGTCCCCTCTGAAGGCCTCTTGTCCATGCTGGTGCGCAGACTCCTCTGTAAGTGGCCCGGTGTGGCCTGTACGCAGCCACCTGTGGCCCAGAGAGCCACACACTGAGCTCCATCTGCAAGCCACGCCCCCCCACCCCGCTGCTCGCCTCTGGGCTCTGAGGGCCCAAGTTGCTTGCACAGCAACCCCCGGCCAGCTCCAACCTGGCCCAACAGCCAAGGTCTCTGCTGTCCAGCAGGCTGAGCGACGCTTTCTCCGTGAGGCCTGAAGCCCTTCCAAGTGTGTCCTTCCTTAGACGCTGTCCCTCAGCCCCAGAGGACCATACGAGGCTTCCTTATAGCTCACAGTTACTCTTTCACCGCAGTGAATAACTCTTCACACTAAACTCCCCCTGCTTAAGCTCCCGTGTGGTTTCTGTCTTCTCACTGGACTCAGACTGCTGCACTCATCTGCCCTCTCAGCAGCCACTGCCCGGCAGGCACCTCGCTGAATGACCGATGGCATCTCTCGGGGACTGGACTGCTCTCTTTCGGCAGACCGTGGGTTTCCCTCTGGGCAGGGAGCTCGAGTCAGGCTTTTTCATCTCTCTCCTCTTGAAAGAACATCTATTATTGAACCAGGCACATGATGGGTATAAACAAAGCCTGGCTGGGTGGAAAAAATGATTGAATAAATGGGTGTACATGTGGATGACAGGATAGATGGATGGAGGGATGGATGGATGGGGGTGGGTGAGTGGATGGATGGATGGATGGATGGGTGGGGGTGGGTGGATGGATATATGGATCACTGGACTGAACCAATGGTTGGAAAGATCCTACATACTGAGCTCATAATATTTTCCTAGATTATTAACTTCCCTTATGGGCTGGGGCTGTGTCTCTCCCACACTCCAGACAACGTGGCCTAGAGCTGAGCCTATACTAACCCTCGATAACAGTAGGATTAAAGAATTCATTAACTAAGCAACCAAATGAAATAAAAGCCATGCTGTCCTGAGCAAATTCACAAGGTTGGATTTTCCAGGGTGCCCCGTTCCACTCTCGGCACTACCCACACCTCTTTCCACCACCAAGACCCTGGACTCGGTCCAGTCCCCTCAGCCTGTCACACTGGAGACTTCAGGAATAAACCTGAACTCCCACAGGGAGGGTGGCTAGTGTCACACTGGATCAAAGGCTTTGCTTACTGATGGTGGAAATTTAGGCACCAAAGGAAACACAAGCAGAGCGTGAATCCTGCGCATCTAGGCAGGAAGAAATCCGACCTCTGGCTAAGAGATTAGCGTATCGGAAGGAGAAAATCACACGTCCTTGGCTTGCCAGTGTTTGCACTCCTTGGTCTTCCCTGGGCCACCTTGTCGGTTCTGACCCATGGAGCTTGAAGAACTTTCAGAGGGAGAAGGACTTAGACACATTCGGTGAGACCAGAAGGGCAGAGGCCAGGGAAGCAGATCTGCCTCCTTGGAACAAAACGCTTGCTCACGCCCAGAGTGAACCAAAGATGGAGCAGCAGCCAGGAAAGGCATGAACCTCCCATCACTTGAAGTTTGTGGCTCAAGGACAAAGTCCGGGTGGGGGAGCTGATCGATGGGAGAAGGACCTGGACATCTTGTGTCCGGATGCTAGGACGGTTGCAATCCTAGGGACCTGCCACCGCCCCACTCTGAGACTCTGGGTACATTCCTCTCCTCTGGCGCCATCTATAAAGTGGAACTCCGGACCTGCCTGCCCCATCACGGGGCTCTTCTGAGTTTCTAGTAACAAGGTGGAGCAGGCCACCACACAAAGGGCACAATGCCTAAAGGGCCACCATGGTGCTTTAACTTCCAGCTCATCTGTGTTGCTGTTCGGGGCCGTCTTTCAAAAAAGGAGGTCCCCTGGGCAAGCGGGTGACAGAGTCAACAAATGTGGTCAACACAGATGTGGTCACGTCTTCTTCCTCTCCCAGGCAGCTTTGGTGCCTCCAGGGACAGACAGGACCTAGGGACTGTCTTGGATACGCAGAGTTCACCAGGCCTGGCTGGAAGTTGCAGCTCAAAAGAAGTTGTTTAATGCAAGACGGGAGGTCTACACAGCCTGGAGGAGCAGTGTGCTCCCCACCAGGAGGGGACAGAGGAAGGAGCAGAGAGGTGAGGGAAGAGGAAGAGGAGAGTTGGGGAGGAAGTGAGAGAGGGGGACCCAGGCACTCAGCGAAGATTAAACAGCTTGGCTAGGCAGTCTGGCTTGCTGGCGATAGCTGAGTGTGGCTTTGCCTCAGTTTCTCCCATGGCGTAAGGTCAGAGTGTCCCCAGAGCAGCAAGCTGGCACACTCTCAGCCCTCGCAGTCATCCTGTCTCAGTGCAGGTAGAAGAGTCCACTGGATATCACGACGTAGCCCTGAAGGGCAGAGAAAACCATGGACCAGGTCAGAGGCCGCACGAGGCCAGGGAGGACCCCAGCCGCCCATCAGCCTGGCTCCAAGTTCACGCTCTGCCATTATTGCTGTGTGTCCCGAGAAGACTCCTTTACCTCTCTAGGCCTCAGTTTCCTTCTCTGTCACTTGGGGGTGGTAAGGCGGCTGTGAGGTGCAGGGAGACCCCTCAGGAGGAGCACTCAGAGTGGGTCCAGCACTGGATGTGTGTCCAGTGGTCGGCACTACTGCTGCTTGGGGACCAGAATTCCAGAACCATCAAGTATCTTCTCCAAGTCTGGTTCTCCCCAGCAGAGGACGCTCCCTACTCCCTACTCTCTCCGCTGCACTGCAGAAATGTTCTGGAGAGCCGCTAATCTTTCATTCATTCGCTCTACAAATCTTCATTGAGCCTCTGCTACAAGACAAGCCCTGTGGCAGGTACAGGGGACCCAGCAGAGAACAAGCCAGACCCGCTTCCTGCCCAGTACGGCGCAGAGTCTAGGGGGACGTGGTCCGACACAGTAGCCCTTAGCCACACATGCCTGTGGCCGATAGTGGCTACTGCTTTAGACAGTGCAAATTTCCATCCTCACAGAAAGTTCCATAGGACGGTGCTGATCCAGCGACCGTTGACTTCTGTCCCATTTGGCTGGATTCAGGAGTGCCAAGGGGGGTCAGCCACTGACTGTGCCCATTTGGGGGAGTCTGGGGGAATTCCCACTAACAGCACTGCCCCTCTGTGCACCAACTGTTCCTTCTCATGTGGGTGCATCACCCCGGTGCCCTGGGACCAGAGTTCTTAAGGAACAAGGGCATCCTCCCTGGGAAGACATTGGCGGGGCACACTGAGCGGGTGTGAACAGCACGTGAAGATGTTGGGCTTGAGAGACCTTGGTTCAGTTTTCTGCTCTATATATGTCTTGTTGAGCGAATTTCCCCTTCTATCCCAGGTAAAACAGGAAAAAAAAGTTATAGAATCTCATCCTGGGTTCACAGTTTCAGATCCAGGGAAAGCAATTCTAGAAAGCTCAGGAAGTTCCCTACCCCGATCCAGGCTGCAGAGGATTGTCTACAAAGCTAGAAGGAGCCACTCTGTCATCTTCCTCCAGACCCCACAGGGGTCGTGCCCATGGGTCAAATCCCCCGAGTGTGGCCTGCTGTGATATTTGATGGGGACTAACAGGCGGGCAGAATGTTGGCACCAGCGCCTCTTGATGTCCTGAATTGTCCATCTCATGCAGTTAAGGATTCACGGTGTGGTCTTGGCGGGAGCAGGGTGCACCCCCGGGCCTGGCTGACCCTGACCCCCACAATTTGCTCTACAAGGCAGAGGGAGCAGGATGACCCCCATCTCGCGGAGCCAGCCTCCCTCCAGTGGTAGAGGAGGCCCTTCTGGTTACACCCAAAGGCTCTCACCTCGTAGACAGAGACCTCGGGGGTGACATAGTGGAGGTTGACCACGCTGGGGAGGGCAATTCCGATGCCCAGGAGAGCTGCAGGTAGAAAGAAGGATTGAGTCGTGCTGGGAGTGGTAACAGATCATCATCTGGAGCCGGCCCTGAGCAGGAGTTCTCATGTGCATCATGGCACTGACTCCTCACAGACGCCCAGGAGGTGGATGCCGTTGTTATTCTACCCATTTTACAGAAGGGGAAACTGAGGCTCGGAGAGGGAGAGGAACTTAGCAAAGATCACACAGCTGCCCATGTGTGTCAAGGTGTCAAGGTGCCCTCTTAATTTCGGAGCAGGGAGGTGGGAAGCGGGTGAGGACTGAGCACAGGGCAGGGGTGAGGTCAGGAGAGGGCCTGAGGGGCCCTACTGGGGCAGAGGGAGGAGCTCACCATTGAGGTGTTTCAGCAGGGGCTCCTCAAACACGCTGCCCGTGAGTGCATGCACTTGATCCGTCTGCGGCCACAGAGCCAGTGGCAGAGGAGGGGACACAGGCCCACTCCAGCCGAGGGGCCAGGAGAGACGGACAGTTAAGCACACACATAAGCACACACAGAGACAGACAGACAGACAGATGGCAGAGGCGGAGGCAGAAGGAAGGAGGACAGGTCACCTATGTCCTGGGTTCAAGCGGAGCCGAGCTACGTGCCAGGGCTGGGTCAGGCACCGGAGAGCAACGCTTGCCCAAGGGGCGGCTGAAGGACAAGCCCTGACTTGCTGGCAGCCACGCATTGTGACCAGCGGGGGACTGGCCAGCAGACCGCCTGCCACCAGATGACCGACAGACAGACAGAGTGACAGCCGGGTGGAGGGGGCAGCACATTGACTGGCACATCAGCTGACAAGTGGATGCTTTGGTGGCCCGTGGCCCAAACGCGTCACTCAGCTGAAGGGACAGCCCACATTCTGACTCGTCCAACTGACTGATGGACTCTTGGGCTGAGGGCTGGGTGGCGAGTCATCAACTACAGAGTGACAGGCAGGCAGGCTGACTGGCCACTGTCCCCAGACACCCTGGGGAAGCCTGGTTACGGTGACACATACAGACACATGCACACACACCCCTTCCCCAGGCTCAAGGCCCAACCCACCCAGCAGGGGGTCTCCGGAGACACCCCGCCCAGCCCTGCACTCACATCAATGACGCCCACATTGGAGGAGGCCACCTTGAGCCGGATGTCCCTGAGAGAGAAGCAGGAGGGTTTGGATGGGCCTAGCGCAGCCCCCCAGCCCCAGGCTCCCCTGACCGACACTGTGACCCATGGGGCTGTGGGCCCATTGCACAGAACACACTGAGGCCGCTGGGTCCAGGAGGTCTCGCTTACCCCAGCACAGACGTGGTCCCCTGGAGCTTCGCCCTGGACACAGAGAGCTGGAGGCTCAGGTCTACCACCTGGGTGTGTGGGGAGAGCAGGGTAAGTGGTCACAGAGCCACGAGGGAGCCGTCGGTGGGCCACCAGCTACCCAGCCTCCCTTGCACCTGCCCACACATTCAGGCAACAGGTGCGCACGGAGCACCTGCTGTGCGCCAGGCCGCGCGGTGAGCACCGGGGACGGCACAGCACTCACAAGGCAGGCCGGGTCCCTGCCCCGCAAACCCACCACAGGCCCGTGGCGGAGGCAGACAACAGCCAAAGTAACAAGAGAGGATCCTTTCAGAGAGTGGCAGGTGCCACGAAGGCAGAGTGGTGGCAAGGAGAAGGCTGCTGGGGACCTTCTCGCTCAGGCTGGGCCAGGAAGGCTGCCCTAAGGCTCCGACCTTTAAGCCGAGACCTGAAAGATGAGGAGGGCCCAGCCATGCCCAGAGCGAAGGCAGCAGAGTCTTAGGCAGAGGGTTCAGAGGGTGCAAAGGCCCTGGGGCAGGAATGTCTTGCCCTGTTTGAGGAACAGCAAGGAGACCAGTGCGAATCGAACAAAGCGAGTGAGGAGAGGGCAAGAGGCAGTGAGAGCTCCTTGAGAGTCGCCCGCCTCCACCACCCCCGCCTGGCCCAGAGCACTCACCACATCCAGGGAGAAGAGGGAATGGAAAGCCGAGTTGGAGGCCACGGCCAGGACTTCCACAAAGGGCTGCAACCTCAGTGTGGCGTTGTTGGGATGGAGCGTGGCCACAGGCGTGGCACCTAGCCGCACCTTGAGCACCACGGGCATGGGCTCGGGGAACTGGCGGGCCACCTGGGGAGGCAGAGTGGGAGGAGGGCCCCACCGGGCAAACCTGGGTGGGCTGTCTAGTCGGTCACTCCCCAAACGCTGGTCGAACTACTGCTGTGCCGTACGCGGCTGGGCCACAGAGGCGGGGCCACCCCAGGCTGCGGGACTAGAGGTTTGGTCCTGCCCTGGACGGTGATCCCCGAGCTTGGTCGTGAGGATGGACAAGGGAAAGGCAGGAGAAGAGGCACCCCGGGCAGCAGGCACCGCTCGGGCAAAGGCACAAGGAGGAGAAAGAACGCGGTACTGGGCAGAAGGAGGGGCCTCCCTGCCACGGAGGAGGAGCAGACTTAGGTCGGATGCGGAACCCCACTTGGGACAGACACGAGCCGGCAGAGATCCCAGGGCCCAGAGAACGCCCACCCCAATCCCACGTCTCAGCCCCAGGAATGGCAGAAACATCACTAACCTCAGGGATGAGCAGGCCCAGCATGGAGGTGTTCAGCAGGTTGTCATCTGACCCCTGAAATCAGCCCCCCACGCCACGAAGGTTTTAGGGCAGCCGCTCCCCAAGCTAGATCACCACTTGCCCCTCATGGACGGGAATCACAGACCCTGTTTAGCTCTTTCCTGTGGCCCCAAACCCCTGCTGCCCCTCCCACCCACGATCTGGCCTCTGTGGGGTCTCCCCAGGCTGGGCCGCAGGGCACCCCTGCCCCACGCGCCCTGGCGGCAGGTCCAGCCCTCACCAGTTGCCCTGTGATGTCCAGGTTGAGGGCGCCGGCTTTCTGCAGCAGCAGGAGGGCGGAGTCGAACAGGTGCTGCGAGAGGCCCACGGTGGCCATGGTGTCCTCAGTGCGCACATGCTGCGGCAGCACAAAGCGGGTGGCATCCCTGGGCAGGACGATGGGCTTGCCCAGCAGGAAGAGAACAGCCTGTGGGGTGGGGGAGGGAGAGAAGCACCAGGGTGGCAGCAGGGAAGTGGCTCCACGGCAGATCCTGGGCTCCTAGACGCCACCCCCACCGCCACCTGTCCAGCCTCACACCTTTGCTTGTGTGCCACGCTCCCAGCTCCTCTCCCCTCAACTCCCTGCTTCTTTAGGAAGCTCCCAGGACACCAAAGACTCCAGAGGCAACAAGCCCCCAGCTCTGGGCTGACGAGGAGGCACTTACACTGATATCCAAGGAAATGTAGTCACTAGTGATCGTGGGCGCGCTGATCATGGTGTAGCGAATCTGGGACTCAGGACCCACGGGGTTGAGGCCTTAATGAAGCAGGTTGGAGAAGAAAAGATGGCGCGTTTAGTACTATCCACCAACGCCGCGTGTATCCAGAAAATATTATCTGATTGCCCAGAGCCAGGCCAAGAAACAAAAGAGGCGAGGCAGGGCTCTGGTGGGCACGTTCGAGCGGCCAAGTGCACACACCCAAGATTGGCCACTCACGGCCTGCCGCCTCTCAGCTTAGACAGCTCTCACAGCCAGGGTTTCCGCTTCCCATGTGGTAGAAAACTAGTGACCCAGCGTTGGAAGGAAGGAGAGGGGTCAGACCAGGCACAGATACCCCCACAGAAAAAGAGGAGAGCTCAGGTCCTGTATCGAGGTCCAGACATTGGACGTACACGATCTCATTCAATCCTCAGGACAATCCTGGGGGGCATTTTACACACACACACACGTGCACGCACACGCACACACGTGCACACACACACACACACACAGTCTGGCACGGTTCAGTCCCGCCCAGGAGTGTAACCGGGTCAGGAACTCCGAGGGCACGTACCGCTGCAGCCAGTCAGCACAAAAGCATAGAAGCCCGACCTCAGCTCTCAGCCAGAAACTGCTAAGCGCCCACCTCCTCTGAGGCGAGTTTACCGAAGGCTCAGAATATTCTGGTTGGGAAGGTTGCAAAGGGTGAGCTGCTGGTGGGACACAGCTGGAAGGCAAGGCAGGCACAGGCTCAACCCCAGCCGTCAGGAAAGCTCTGCTCAGTCCCAAGAGCTGCCCAACGGACAGAGCCACTGCTGCCCACAGCAGTCACCTGCTCACGATCACCCTCCTTCCCTGCCTCGCTCGCCCCTTCCCAAGCCCTGCCCCCTAGAGCACCTCTCACACGAACCACTCACACTAAAATCCTCCCTCTGGGTCGATCGGCTTCCGGGGGCTCAGCCTAAGGCAGCCGCCTACTCCTACAGTCGGTCACCCCTGGGTAATGATCTCTGGAAAAATCGCAGGTGAACAAGCCTGACAGGGGTGGAGGGGACAGGAAGGCTTTGGCCCTGTGCCCTGCCTGGTTGGTGGGCAGCCCGTGAGGAGGAAAACAGGAACAGGGACACTTTGGAGCAGAAGACCCTGAGTTCTGCCCAGGACGTGCTGAGTCAGAGGAGCCTGTGGGACTTCCCGGAGGTGGTGTCTAGGAGGAAGTGGAATGTCAGAGCCTGAGCTCAGGGTAAGACCCCCAGTCCTGAAAGTGGGGGAGGGGAAGAAGTTCCCACAGAGAAGACCAATGCGGAGGTCTGAGATGTGGGAGCAAGTCCAGGGGAGCGCGAGGACCCTGAAATCTCCAGGCAGGAGAGGCCATTGCAAACCGAGATGTACCCCCCTACACACACACACACACACACACACACACACACACACACACACACGCCATTCATGGCAAGAGCCTAGGACTGCCCAGCCCTCAGGCATGAATTGCTCCTCCCAAACACACCTGCAGGAGCAGCTCCCGAGGCAGCCACGGTGCCTGCACCCAGCCTACAGCTGGCACCTGGGTCTCCTCCCCACTCCCACCCGCCCGGAGCCTTCTACAGACTGTGCCCAGCCCTGGGCCTGGCACCCAGAGGCTCTGAGGATGCAAGAGAGGACAATGACAGGGTCCCCTTGGGTCACACAGCCACCCTCCCTGAGCTGCTTAAAGAACCCTCAAAAATCTGAACTCAAAATTTGAACTCAAAATCTTTCAATTGTGAGTCTTAACATTGGAGAATCTTAGCACCATTGAATCTTAGAATCTACAATCATTCGCATTTTCAGTATCATGGGATTTCAGAAACCAGATTCCCACCATTGGAAGGGACCTTGCAGCTGTCTTAATGGAAACTTTGAAACCTGTCCGCACCATCCCGGAGAGGCAGAGGTGCAGGGATGGGCACGCATATCATTAGAGGGGGCTCGGCACGGGCTCAGGGTCTGGGGCTCGTGCCTGGGCTTTATGGGACGTGTTCTGTGGCTAATTCTTCAATTGGACAGTTATGCATTTATGGTGAGGCCACATTAGAAACGATAAATAACCACCATCTAACTGGTGATGCCATGAGTATTAGTGCTGGTTTCTGACTCTTGATAGTGATAGAAAGTTTTCTTCGCAAATAATTTAAGAAAAAGGAAATTGATTTAAGGGAAATGTTAAATCAGGACAGGAGGCTGCACCGCATCAAGTCTGGGAGATCTCGCTCTGGGGCCTGCCTGGCTGGGTTCCTGCTGTGCTACCCAGGTTGTACCACTCAACCTTTCTGGGCCTCCGACCCCTCCTCCGTAAAATGTGGGTAATAATAGAACCTCCCTTGCACGGTGGCTGTGAGAATTAAGGGTGACAATTCACATAGAGTGCTGAGCACAGCACCAGGCCTGGGACACAAGCTAGGTTTATTTAATAAAGTGCTGGACTTTGCGTCTTGGTTTGGGGGGAAAAAAGATGACAGAATCAAAGACTTCATTCTAGAACTTGGAGATTCTGAGATCCTGTGAATAATTAGGCAGTTTGGGGAGCCCACAATTGAGTCACCCTATGACTGACCTCCTAGAGGCCAACCCTGACCTAGATGGGGAGTCTTTGAAGGGTCTTAGGAGCCCCAGAGGGTCCCAGAGGTCCCACCCCACCCCCGCTCCCAGGTCTTACCGATTAACGTGCCCAGGTGGACGTTGAGTTCCTGCACCAGGCTGGCGACGCTCAGACACAGCTGCAGCAAGAGAGAAAGGAGGCTGGGGTTAGGGGGTCCTCAGGTGGGAGGGGCGAGGGTCCCTGTCTAGAGCCTCCCCTGGCCGATGCACCAAGCCTGGAATCCCCCCCTCCTCTACCACCCGGTGGGCGTCTCCTGGCACCTCATCTGGGCACTGAGGAAGCAGGAGAAGCTGCCCAAGGCTGATGGGGGCAGCATGGGCCTGTGGGCATTGGGGACAGAACAGGGGCTGGGAGCACAGCCCAGGTGCCCACAGGCTGGGCCTGGGTGACTGAGGCAGGAGCCTGCTGCAGGGGGCCCCAGAGGGCCAGCTGGTGAGAGGCTGGTACCCGTGGCAGGCCTCAGATGCCAGGCCAGGGAGATTGGAGGCTCTTCCAGGCACAGCGGGCAGCCAGAGAAGCAGATTAAGCCGGGGCCAGTGTGATCAAAGGTGGGGGCAGAGGAGGAACTGCAAGGCCGGGGGCACTCACAGCCTGGCCAGGCCCGAGCTGGTGAGACTGGACCAGGCAAGGCCGGGAGGAAGAGGGGAGGGCCCTCCCCTCCCGAAGTGCCGCCTGCAGCTGCTTGCCCAGAGGAGGCTGGCTGCGAGGGGAGCAGGGGGCCACAGGGAGAAGAAGCTCTGGACCGACAGGCAAGGTCGAGGGACCACTTGGGCAGCCTGCAGCCCCCTATACCCCTTGAGCCTCAGTTTTCTCATCTGTAAGATGGGAATGTTGCAGTCTACTTCTAGGTGGCTGTTGACTTGGTCTCTACCACTGTTCCTTAAAGGGAGGTGGGGCTGGGATGGGACGAGGCAGGGAGGGAGAACCAGCTCCCCAGGGGCAGTGGGACCCTGGTGATCTCTCCCCAGGTCAGCCCCATGCAGAGAATGAGAGGAGCTAAAATAGCAACAACAGCTGCACTCGCTCTGCCAAACGCTGTCCGAAACCCTTCTCAAATGCAAATACAACTAGTCCCCACACAACCCCACGGAGGAGGGACTTCGTGGAGTCAGGAGCAGAGAGAGGCTGCGTGACCAGCCCACAGTGCACAGCTGGGAAGAAGGGTGCCAGCACCCAGCCAGGCCACATCTGGCTCCAGCGCCCATGCCTTGCCCACTGTGACTTTGTCTCCTTTCCATAAACCACGGGCCCAGGAAAGCATCGCCCCCACCCCACCCTCTAGCGTCAAACTGGGTGTCCCCAAGAGGGTGAACCTCCCTCCCCTCCAGCCCTTGGACCATCGCACCAGCCCCTTCCCGGCCTTCATGGGGAAATCGGAGGCACCCAGGAAGGGCCTTCTATTTTTAAAAACCCCAAGCAAAGCCCCCCATGCCTGAGACCCGCCCTTCCTTCAGCGAGCCTTCCAGGTGAGGGATGCCCTCCTTGCCCAGACGTCGTCAAGCGCTTCACCTTGTTACTCAAGACGGCTTTAATGTGCTCCTGCACCGGCACCAGCAGCGCTCGGGAGGTGCTGGGGGAGAGACGGGGGAGGCTCCTGAGTTCCCGGACCCCCCACGCTAGGTCCGTCCCAGCAAAGACCTCGGGCAAGTCCCTCCCCGTCTCTGCGCCCTGGTGTCCACGGCCATAACACAGGCATGATCATGGGCACGTCTCATGCCATCGGGGCCATTACATAAAATCCTGAGTGGGAAGCTCAAAAAATGTCACCACAGCCTTAGCACCTGGCATTTCCGCCCTGCCCGCGCCAGGTACTCACCTGTTGCTGTCATCGAAATCGCTGGAGCGGCCTAGGAGTGGGAAGCAGTAAGAGGTGCTGATCACGGGGGTCCCGATGGAGCTCTGGGCCACGCGGGCATCAGCCAGCAGTTCCACAGCCAGCGTCAGCTCCAGGGGCTCTGGGACACTGCAGGGAGGCCGGTCCTGAGCCCCCGCAGCGCCACCCAGCACAGCCCACCACGGCTGACGAGAGACCCCGCGAGTCCCCCGGCACGTGCCTGACCTCCACTCACAGTAGACAGCCCCACCCAGGACAGGCCTAGACACCCCCGCCAAAACGCCACTCAGGGTCACAGACATTGCAGCAGGTGAGTGTGACCTCTGGCTCCCTGGGCCCTCTCACCGCAAGACCCTGGGCCAGCCGTTTGCCGCCCTGAGCCTCAGTTTTCTCTTCTGTGAAATGGACGTAAGATTGGTGGTGCCTATTTCACAGGGCCGTGCTGAGTTTTCTATGAAATAATCCTGTAAAACCGCCCACCTCAGAGCCTGGCCCACAGTAAGCACTCATAAAATTGTAGTATCAGGCGGAGGAGATAAAATAACAGATCCCTCTGCATGCCCAGCTCATAGTCTGAAAATTAAACGCAATAACATGGAACGTGCCTGATGCATGGAAATAATTCTGATAGCTACGTTGACGGAGCATCCTCGGTGTGCCTCGCACTGCGCAAGGGAGGGCAGTGTCATCACTATAGCGACGAACCCATTCACTGCGACCCTCACAGCCACCCCACGATGGTTCACCCCACTTTACGGATGAGAAGACTGAGGGTTGGAGAAGGGAAGCGACTCTGCCCAGTGGCATGGCTGCTGAGCAGGGTCTGGGCTCTCAGGAGTTCTCCCAGGGTGGGAGGGAGAGGGCACCGGCAGAGAGTTGGGGGGCCTGGGTGATGATCCTAGAGGAATTGCCAACCCCCTCCCCTCACTCTGCCCCTCAGAGCATCCCGGACACTCCTCTCACGCCCCAACAATGAGATTCACTCACCGAAAGATCTTAAAAGTAAAATTGGCTGCTGCCGACAAGCGAATCCCAAAATCAGCAATGAATTTCAGGTGGAATTGGGGCACGTGGACATTCAGAATCTGGATCCTGCAGGACAGTAATCAAGGTGACAGAGAGGCCCCTGTTAAACCATGCTCTGAGGCACACCCACGCTGCTGGTGTTATGAAGAAGGACTTTCCGACAACTGAGACCATGAGGTGAGGGAGAGGTGGTGAGTTCTCCATCACGGGGGGCATGCAAGCCAAAGGTGGACAACCAGCTGGGAGGGAAAACATGCAGGGGCCCCAGCATTGGGCAGGACTTGGGGGAGATGATTGCTCAGGCTTGTGACAATTTCTGCCAGCAGTCTGGAAAGTTGGGAAGGTGGGGAAAAAAAGGCCGTGGGCTCCACAGAAGGCAGAACTCCCTCTCTAGCGTTCTAGCCAACAGAGACGCACCCCATCAAACCTGCCTGTTCTGCTTGCTAAGCACTCTCCAGCTCACCTACGATTTCTTTTTCCTACATGAAAGTCATTTTTGTCCTGTATAGTAGTGGGGGGAGGAATTCAGACACAACAAAATGGTTTAAAGCATAAGGGTCACATCGAAACCCCACCATCAGACATCCTCACTGTTAGCATTGGGTGACGTCTTTCCACGACTCTCCTAGGGACGCAGGCCGACCTAGGACCTGCACCTGTTCCCTCAACGACCATCCTGGGTGTGTTCTCACGTCTACACACGAGGGCCCTTGGCATTGTTTTCAAACAGCCACGTGGTGTCCACTGTGTGGCCAGACCACAGCGCTTGTTGGGTGTTCGTGTCACTCCCAGTTCTCCACCGTTGTCAACCACGCCAGGAGCTGCAGCGCCCCAGCCCTGCCTAAGGGCTCTCAAGCTGGTGGCCTTCTGGCCAGGTTATTTTTACCCACTCCTTGTTCCAGTATCCTAGAGTTTTAAATGTTTTAAAACTGGTTGACGTCATTCAAAATTTGATAGATTATGGATATCTGGGAAACCCAAAGATCTGACAATATTGAGTGTGTGTTCCCATGTAGATGGTGACAATTGGCCGGCCCCTGGAGGTGTCTCAATTTGAGATGACCTCACCTACCTCTGCCTTTGAGTCTCTATGTGTTAAGGGGGTTGAATGTGGGCGTAAATTCAGCTCAGACTTGTGTCTAAACTCAGTGTCTAGGTTTTAAAGGAAGGAGCTGAGGGTCCTGCCAGCCCTGGGGACCCATGGTCTTGGTCCCTGAGGGTAGAAATCCACAAATTCAGAGGCACTGGGCCACCTCGGTTCCTTCTCCTAGATCCTCTTGCTACCCACTGGCTTGGGGAGGGGAGCACTGGTCCAGCTGTGGGGGAGCACCCGCCCCTAAGTGAGAGTACTCATCTGGGGGACTGGAGGGTTCTGCCCAGTGAACAGGAGCACTCGCCTTGGGGGGTCATCCACCCAGCAGGCAGGAGCACCTTCTCTGGAGGGTGGGAGCACTCACCTGGTGGGCTGAAGCACCTCTCCACTCCGGTCCAGGAAATACGGGACAGTGACCTGCAGAGCCCGCTGGAGAGGGCCTTTCCCGATTTCAGACACTGTGGGGCCAGGGCAGGGTGAGATCACTGAGCAGCAGGAACCCACCACCTACCACCAGCTGCCCGCACCGTGGGCGGAGGGGACGCGGGCTGGAAGGCGGGGCTTGCACTGAAGCGCACAGGGAGGGCAGCTGGCTCCCCGGAGCCCACCTTGGGTGCACCGCTGGCCTCGGGCCCTCTGCAGGACACACCCTGCCACCCTCACTCTGCCTCTGAGAATCCTGCCTGTTTACCTCGTCCTCAAAAATAGCAACGTCCTTTGCTCTCTTGCAAGGCTCCCGCTGGATCCCCCTCCTCCTCCTCCAGGATCCTCTCCCAGGTCCCCGAGCAGGAGCATTTCCAAGTCATGCCTGGTCTGCAGCGGCGGGGTCGCCTGGGCGGGGAGGCTGAGGACTCAGAGTCCCCCAGGTGCTGGGTGCAAACCCCCGCTCTGCTCCTCACTGCCCACACGGCTGCCCCGTGCTCAGTTCCCCCATCCATAAATCTGCAATGACTACGATGGCATCTGTCACTCGGGGTCATTGTAAGGACTCGGTGCACAGTAAGTGCTCGCCGTCACTGCTGCTGTTTACGTCTGTAACAACAGTGGCCACCATGTACATGGCACTCCCGTAGGGCCGAGCACCCTTCCAAGTGCTTCACTGTTCCTGTTATCGCGCCCAGTTTACAGAGAGCTGAGGACACCTGGCCAGGAAAGCTGGCTCTGGACTGAGACACCTGACGCCCGAGCTTCTGGGCTTCCTCACTCACCTGTGCTGCTGGACCCGAGAAAGGTATTGATTAAACGTGAAGTGAGTTAAAATGAGAGGGGATGGAGCTGGAAGGGGGCATCGAGTTAGGAGTCACAGGCCCAAGCTCTGCTCAGACTCACTGTGGGACCTCGGGAAGTCCCTGAGCCTGTCTGGGCCTCAGTTTCCCCAGACAGAGCGTAAAGGTGGTGGTCTTCGTGTTCCTGATGTCCCTCCCAGGCCTGATCATATGCAGCTGAGCTGAGACTCACACCCCAGCCTCAGACTCCATGTGCAGTGCTCCCTGACACAGGGCTTGGACTCCGGGGCTTGCAGGACGGGGTAGGGGACACAGTAAGAACAACCCAGCCCAGCCTTGGAAGCAACTGTGCAGTGTGGGCCTCCGCCAGATTTCTGCCAGGAAGAAACACAGGCAGGCGAGCCAGGGAGGACTCCCCGGGGACAAAGGAGGCTCACACAGGACAGGCAGAGGGAAGGAAGGCGGCGAGGGCGGCGGGCCTCACGTCACTTCCTACAGGCATCCATGCATGGCTGCATACACCTGTCACACTCCGGCACGGATCACTGACCCCTTTCATTGCCGGCCCATCTGCCCGGATACAAGGTCCCGGAAGGCTGTGTGTGCCCGAGGGAGGGGGACCCTGCTGCTTTCCTGAACCACTGCCTCACTGCTTTGTGGCCTGGGCCATTGAAAGTTGCTTCTGCTGTCTAACCCGAGTCCCTCGCGCTATAATCTGAGCTTGGTCTGGCCTTGGGGAAAACAGCTTCTGACTTCCCAGCTTTGGGGAGGACCCTAAAATCTCCCCAGGAGGTAGCCGAGGATGAATAAAGATTTCTGTTCTGGGGTCCTGGACTTTGGCAGTTTTTGTCCCTCCCTAGGCCTAGGATTCCTCATCGTGCCATCCCCAGGGGATGGGGCAGGACTTGGAAGGATCTAGCAGCAAAGCCACAGGGCACAGCCTGCCCCTAAGCGGGGCCCAGAGAGGGGCTGGTTCCGTCACTCTGAGCCCAGCAGGGACCTGGCTTTAGGAAGCTCCCTGCACACTGTGCTAAACTCACCTCTCCCAAGCACACGTGTGCACCCAAGGCGCACAGCCACTCCGTGCGCATACATCCAGGCATGCGCCATGGGCAGACGCCCTCCTCGACATATGAGTCCCTGCACGGGCACGTCACCGTGAAATTTCAAACTCGTAGGTAGACATATACACAAAAAATAACCACTCAAATCGACCCATGCCCACGCCACTAAAGCACATGAGCACACTTGCACACTGGCCACGTGACATATCCTCCCACTTCTGCATCCATTTTAATAAATATTTGTTGAGCTGCCCTGTGTCAGGCCTGTCTGGGGGCCAGGGACACAGCACACTGAGGATCTTACACACACGTGCAGACGTGGGCTCGCAGGCACACGCTCGGTCTCTTACCATAGCTCAGCGCCGCCTTGTTGAGTCTGACCACGGTGCCTGGCATGGAGGCGCTGACCACCGGCAGCAGCGCCAGCAGCAGGCCCAGCCCAAGCGCCCCAGCCATGGCTGCCCTGGCCGCTGCCCCAGGATCTGTGGTCTGGGGTGTGGGAAAAGAATTAGGGAGCTTGGCCCAAATGACCCAGCCCTCGTTGAGCTCCCAGCTCTGCCCCAGGCGCCCAGACATCAGTATTCGCGTCTGTGCACTGGGAACACTTTACCCCGCCTGCTTCATCTGGAACTATGGAAGGGGTCTGGAAAGGGTCCCCGAGGCCCAGAGAAGAATGGTCCTGCCTAAGGCCACCCAACAGACTGGAGCGGGGTGCAGACCCCAGGCCAGGGCAGAGGAGGATGGTGAGACCCCGAATCGGGAGGCTGAGGGCAGCTTCCTGTCCCAAGAAGAGAGCCCAGGCCCACCATCCCGAGGCCCACGGCTGTGTCACCTGATGCCAGAGTCCAGCCCCACGTGACAGCCCAACCTGGTGTCCAGCTGTCCAAACCCAGCCTGGGGAGAACCCAGGGTGCCTCCTGTCCTCATTTCATCCTGGCCAGGTGAGGAATGGCCCCAAAGCAGGTCTCTCACCCGGGCCCCCAGCCCTCCCAGCCCAGCTGAGCAGACAGATCTGTGCCGGTCTCAGGGAGGGGCAGCCAGGCGGGAATGAGTGCAGATGGGCTCCTGAGGCCCATCAAGGTGGCACTGGCCAAAAGTCCCACAGCAAGGCCAGGGAGGGACGGATGCTTCTGCAGAAGGCGGCTGGAGGTAGTACCCCACGGACCAGATAGAGAACTCGAGGCTCCTCCCGGGACGAGTGCCGGTGCCATCCCCATTCCTACCTCGGGCGGCTCTGTGAGCAGGCGAGCTGTCTGCCCCAGGTGGACAGGTGTGGAGGCTGCTATATGAGGCTCCCTGGTACACAGGGCCACTGGGAAGGGACCCGAGGAGTGGCAGGTTTGCTTGTGGTCGCAAGTGTTTTCCCTGCAAACACGGCCTTTGCCAGAGCGTCTCCTCCACATGCGCATGCGGCTGCCACGTAGCCAGGCCTGGCTGCCAACTTCGGCAAGACCCTGGGGTCGGGCAGCTTTGGCCTCAAGGGCCGGGAGATATCTGGAAGGAAGGCTGCTCCTAAGAGGGTCCTAGGAGGGTCCCCTCATCACCCCAGCCTGGTCCAGCTAAGACCCAGGAGGAAGGGGGTGCCCAAAGGCAGGAGGATGGCACCTCTCAAGCCTGGTGCCTCCAAGTTCTCCCAGAAACATGACCCTTTTAGGAGGAGCAGACGACCTGAGCCCTGACCCCAGCCACTGACTAAGCCTTGATCCTGGTTACATACTGAGCCCTGATCCTGGTCACACACTGAACCCTGACCCCAGTCGCTGACTGATTCCTGACCTTTGTCACTGACTACTAAACCCCGATCTTGGTCACGTCACACTGAGCCCTAATTCAAAAGGGAACGGAGAAGAAAGTGGGGATGACCCAAACCCTGTTCCTTAACACCCGCCTCTCCCCAGACGCACATCCCACTCACAATGGATTCAGCACCTCCTCTTCCGCACCGCGAACTCCAGGCCCCGCCCTGGCTGCATGGGACACAACGAACTGTGTGTGCGCGTGGAGAAATTTGTATATGCACGTGTGCGTGCAGGTTATACATGTGTTTGTATGTGTGTGGTTGTGTGTACATAGTCACAAGTACACATGTGCATTAGGTCATCGTTACTGGCGTCAGAGGAAATGCGTGTTTTTATGTGTGCGTGTGGACATGAAATGGGCGTGTTGGCATCTTGGTTTGTAGTGTTACATGCCTGTTTATGCAAACATACGTGAATGCGGATGGGAGTTTTGTGTACATGTGTGCATATGTGGGTTTGGTCTACCAAGTGTTCGAGCCTGCGAGTGCGTGGTGTTAGGTGCGTGTGTGTATGTGTGTATAGTGGACTGTTTCTTGGTATCAGGGTGTATGTGTATGTTCGTGTGTCTGTGTGTGTCTGTGTGCATGGGGGGTGATGGCACAGCTGCAGGGAAGGCCCCTCTGTTCCTCCGGATAACTCACCTGGGGCACAGGCACGAGGGATCTTGGGACTTCTCCCACTCCAGAGCCCTCTGTGGCTCCCGCTGACTCCACACCAGCCCAAATATCAGGCCCAGAGCCCAGGCCCACCCTGGGCTGGGTCCCCACGAGTACCCACAGAGCCAACAGAGGCCGCAGGCACCATCAGGCCCTCCCCGAGCGGCTGGAGCCTCCCTGAGCTAGTCCTGCCTCCCAGCCAGTGCTCCCCTGCCCCTATTCTAGAGGCCACAAGGAGTGTGCGGAGCCCATGTGAGCTCTCTGACCTCCTGCTCCTGGCCTTAGCTTGCCCACCCGCCCCTCACCACAGGCGAGGCAAACAGCAGACTCGGGGACAGAGGTGCAAATATTGACCGAAGCCACTGTCAGTGTTTGCTCTCTGCACGAACGCTTCATCTTCCTCAACATTTCCAGGGACATTTGGGTGACAGCCAGGAGACACAAAGGAGGGAGATTCTCACCAGCCCATCCCCAGAGCCCAGCAGCCTCCCCACAGCAATGGAGGCACCGTCTGGTGAACACCTGCTCCGTGCGAGATGTCCTGCCGGCCACTGTGCCTGCATCCCAGGGATGGGGGCTGGTTCTGCTCGGTCCTGTATCCAATGACTAATACATATTAGGTTTGTTGAATGAATAAATGAATGAGTATATAATTGAAAGACCTTGTAACGGTTTTAGTGGTAGCATTTTAGTTTCCCCTTCACTGAATATTCTCAGGAGTGCTGTATTGGTTTCCTATTGCTGCTATAACAAATTGCCACAAACTTGGTGACTTAAAACACAAATTTATCATCTTACCATTGTGGTGGTTCAAAGTCCAAAATGGGTCTCACTGGGCTAAAATCAAGGAGGTATTGGCAGGGCTGCGTTCCCTTCTGGAGGCTTTAGAAAAGGCTGTTTCCTTGCCTTTTCCAGCTTCTACAGGCTGCCCTCACTCCCTGGCTCCCGGCTCCTTCCCCATCCTCAAAGCCAGCAACGTTGAGCTGAGCGCTTCTCACGCTACCCTCTTTCCATCTCACATTTGTAAGAACCTTGTAATACATGGGGCCTATACGGATAATCTGGGATATTCTCCCCATCTCAAGGTAAGCTGATTAGCAACCTAAATTCCATCTGCTAGCTTTATTTCCCTTTTGCTACATAACCTAACATATTCACATGTTCAGAATTTGGTATGTGGCTCTCTTTGGGGGACCATTATCCCACTTCCCACAGGTGCTTAGCCTGCAATTTAGAGCAACTGCCACAAGGGGGCAAAAGTGAATTCATTTTAGCTTCACTCTCCAAATGGTCAGGCTCTCTACAGGCAGGGCTGACAGAAAAAAACCTAGCTAAACATTTCCACTCTGTTCTGCTTTTATTTTTCCCCAGTAAGAACTAGAACTTTATTAAAACAGCAACACATGTAATGTGATTTTGTGTTATGCATGATGTCCGCCAGTGAGAAGCTCCGCATTGCAAAATGTGTTCACATATAACCTAAAAAGATGGTAAACCTGGGAAGCCCGGGGCAGGAAGGGGTCTAGGGAACGAGGAAGTACATGGCCTGCTTATTGGAGCCTCAGCTCTCACCCAGCTGCTCAAGACACTGGCATGGTCCCTCCCATCTTGAGGCCTCAATTTCCCCATCTTAAAAGTGGAGAGCAGGCCGGGCGCAGTGGCTCATGCCCGTAATCCTAGCACTCTGGGAGGCCGAGGCGGGAGGATCGCTCAAGGTCAGGAGTTCGAGACCAGCCTCAGCAAGAGTGAGACTCTGTCTCTACTAAAAATAAAAAGAAATTAGCCGGACAACTAAAAAATATGTAGAAAAAATTAGCCGGGCATGGTAGCGCGTGCCCGTAGTCCCAGCTACTCAGGAGACTGAGGCAGGAGGATCACTTCATTCCAGGAGTTTGAGGTTGCTGTGAGCTAGACTGACACCATGGCACTCTAGCCTGGGCAACAGAGCGAGACTCTGTCTCAAAAAAAAAAGTGGAGAGTTGGTCACAATGGCTGCCTGTGATGGGAGGTTCCAGGGCCAGGCTGGAGACTGGGCACCACCACCCCCACCTGCTCTGTGAGGTCACAGTGCCGACTGTTCAACATGACCTGGGCAGATTCCACATGGCACCTCCCAGGAGATGCTCAGCGGCAGCAGCAGCAGCAGCAGCCACTTCCTCCTCGCCAACTCCACGAGATCGCCCAATCCTAGCGAAGGAATCGATGCCACGGTCCTCAAGGAGCCCCGGGGACCCGGGCTGCCCACCCGAAAATGTGGCCCACGGTGCCAGGCCCAGGAGGTGAGGATGCAGGCCCTCTCTCTGCCTGGCCCTTTGCAGGTTATGAGTGCTGTCCCTCTGCCCTCCTTAGAAGTGAGCGGGCATCGTCAACCGCACTTTACAGATGCGGCAGCTGACACCAGAGAGGTTTGACGATGGCTTTCCCCAAGTCTCCCAGCCAGTAAGTGGTGGAGCAGCCATCCTTTCGGCGCAGTTTATTGAGCACCTACTGTGTGCTGGGCACTGCACAGAGAACTGGGAGCACAGTGTTGCACCAGCCCAATGTGCTCCCTGCCCTCAGGGAGCTCACAGTCTAGTGAGGGACGGACACGAAACAAGGACACAAGTATTTCTGCTGTCTTTATCTGTCGGGAAGCCTCTGGTAAGAGGCAGGTGACAGCAATTCCAACTCAGAGTGATGCCTACCTCTGGGCCCCCCAAATGGGATGTATCTCTCCAGAGGGTATACAAAACCATCCATTGGGGTGAGGGAAGAAAGTATTAGAACTTGAATGTATATTTTTTTAGCTTATCCTCTCTTAGTTTATATTCCTCAGAAATGTATAAATGAATCTGTACATTCAGAAAGAGTAAATAATATATTAGCACAATTAGGCATATATCTAATTTCTTCATAAATAAATATAAATAGACTGGGGGTATAATAAAACACATTTGGGGACCTTTGCCTTAAGAAATAAAGAAAATGTTTTTATCTCACATACTAAGAGGCCCCAAGGCATGGTGGCTCCAGAGTGCGTTAGTTCCGCAGTTCTGCATTGTCACTCAAGACCCAGGTTCCTGCCACTGCTTTGCTCTTCCTTTTGCTCCCCTTGCAGTCAAAAGATGGCCACCACAGTTCTGGGTGTCACGCAGAAACGTGGCTGTCTAGGATGGAAGGACAGTGGGTATCATTTCCTGTGGGCATTAAAGAAATCTTTTCCCCAAGTCCCATACCCTCATAGCCACCCCCTACCCCCACCCCGCCTCTCCGCTGCAGACCTCCCTCACCTTGAACCAATCATGGCCAAGGAATGGGCTTCAACCAGTCAGGATGGTCTAAAATCACATGGAGTAGGAGTGGACAAAGGAACAAAACCAGGCTTCTGCCAGCCTCTGGGACATGGTGACAACCACCTGTGACTGCCACAGCAATCCTGAGTCCTTTCCTCAATAAGGACCTGGATTTCGGGTCAGCCAGACCTGGGTGTGTCCCGGACTCATAGGCTGGTGGTCTTGGGCAAACTTCCCTGTAACTTAGTTTATCTGTCTGGAATGTGGTGACACCGTGCTCCTTGTAAATTACGAAATGCTATTGTGAATCCTGTCATCCCCAGGGCCGCCCAGCGAGGCCGGAACGCCTGCAGGATAATAGAGGACTCCTCCCCGAACCTGAGTGAGCAGGGAGGGGAGCTCTGGGGTCTTCCCAGCAAGGGGCAGGGGCAGACGGACAGGGACGCTCACACCGAGCTCTGGGCACTGCCCAGGTCTCTGCAAGACCATACCCCAGAGGCCGGCAGTGACGTGACAGTCCTGTGCTCTCCGCAGATGACGCCTTCCTGCTGCCTGTCCGCATCAATGCTCCAGCTCTGGGCCTGACTCAGTGCATGCTGGGATGTATGTGTACGTATATACGGAAGAACCTCCCTGGCCATCAGCGTGGGCC